AGAGGTCTCCTCAGAGAACCTCCCCCATGCTGATGCAAAGATGCAGCATGTTTTGGATGTGTTACCTCAAAGGTACAGGGTAGCACTGGGAATTTCTGATATCAAATAAAATTCACATGCAGATAGAAACTGATAAATAGGAAAGAAAAAAATTCATTTTACACATTGTGAGAAAAAACTTGTCACCACAGTGAAACAGCGTGAGGCTACCTGATCTGTAAGGCACAAGCTAACAGACCAGAGGAGCAGGACTGACAGGTTTGTCAGAAAACCCCCAGCAACCCCGGAGGAGGAGACACAACATGGCCCTCCTGCAGCTCTTTCTTCTCTTGGGTGCATAGCTGCACTACACACGCTGGCAATGAAGCCAGGTGAACTGCAAAACTAGGTGTTACAACCAAGCCCTTTGCTGCTTGCAGTTTTTCCCTTCCCACTTCTGAGGTCCCTGCTGCAGATTTAATCACTCACACGTAAATACGTCTGTGACCAAGAGGGCCAAGTTTCAGTCCTCCCTTTGGCTGTTTGCCCTGAAGGCTGGGCACAGCACTGCTGCACCGGGAGCCTGGCTTTCCTCCTGACCCTTTCCAACAAACAGTAATTTGAAATCCCGGGTTTTTTAATGAGGTATCATCAGCCATGCTGCAATCAGTGCTAGGAAAAATTTGAGGAGCTCCCCTGAGTAAATTACCATGCAAACCTTAAGGCCCTGTGTTTGAAGACAGGACTTTTAAGATTTAATGTGAAAATCTTTACTGCTTTCACTGCTGCTTCTTTGCCACACAGTGTTCTTCATGTTACACTGGTGGTGTGTCAGGCTACAACAGGTACACAAAGTACCAGCAGTCAAGCGTCTTCTAATCAGTGGAGAGAGGTCAAGGAAACTTGTGGAATGGGCATCATTCATAACTCTTTATCTGAAGCTTGGGGAAATATTAATCATGAAGGGATGTATTGTTCAGCAGAACTCAACGTTCTCCTCTCTCTTTATTTCACTTAATTAATAGCTTACAGAAAAATGTCTGAAGATCTTTTTCCCCAATGCAAACTTGGTCATGAAGAACCTCTTCAAAAGCAATTTTGGATTGTAACATCACCTGCCATCATTCACTTGAGACCACTGTGAAGATACCTGGTAGGAATGACACAATCCACTGATGGAGGGGAACGGCTGGAAACAAGTGCCCACACCCTGCAGATTGATATTCAAGCAGCTGAGAAGAGGTCAAGATATCACTTATCACCACTATGGACAAGAAGCACACATCCAAAACTTGACAAAGTACAAGTGAATTCTTCTCCACAAGAACTGTCCTAGAAATCCTGTTGCCAACATAGGTTCCAATGAGAAAAGCAGGATATGACAGTATGCCTTTTTAATAGTGAATCCAGACCTAGATCTAAAAAAACACCACAAATGTTCTCAGATTACCCTGAAGTTTCAAACCATTTAACCACAAGACAAATGGAAGTCTCTAGAAAAACACAATAGTGAAGAGTAAGGATCAGTCACAACCCAACCCATCAGTGACCTGGTTCTGCCATGGCTGTGTACAGATTACAATAGTCATAACCACCAAAAACCTCACTGGGGTCTACAGTCCAGAGCAAACCATGAGCTGCAATGCACCGCAAAATGTGAGAGCTCATCAATCAGCAGTTGTGGAAAAGCTCCAGGACACTCATAAGATTCACTTCGTTTTTTCTTGATACACTCATTCGCAGTTGGACTCAATGATCTTAAAGGTCTTTTCCAACCTAAATGATTCTGTGATTCTATGATCATGAACACACTTGATACATAATACCATGATGTGGGTGTCAAACTTGACAAGCAAATGAAAAGCTCATGTCCCAAGCTGTCTTGTGAAGAATACAAAGAACAGTGGGCAAAAATCTCCCAAGTGTCCTACAGCAACAAAGAGAGACGGAGTAGCTTCAGCCTTTTGTCACCACTGTGCACCCTCCTGCTTTCTACAAGGACCCAAATCAACCCTGCTGAGACTCATGCATGTCCCACTGTACTATCCGTACCAATGGCCAGACGCAATGGTGAGAACAGCACACGTTGCCAGTAACAACTTTGGTTTGGCAGCGGTTCCCTTGCTTGAAGAGAGCACCAGATGCTCATCACACAAGTCCAAACACACCAAGTGTCCTTTGGGGGCTGAAAAATTCTTCTGCCTTCCCTAACGCACACATATTTTTTCCTTTCCACCCCATCCCTACATACAGAAGTGTATCAATAGCTGAATCAGCCATTTTAGCTCCCGGGGTCATTTTGCCAGAAGGCAGATGATGCTGACGCATGCTGGCAGGGCAGCGTGAGGTAATTTTCTCTGTCACTCACGGTGGCAGAGTCTGAGTTTTCATCTCCAGCCTACATGGGAGACATGATGAATGCCTGGATTCAAACGTACTTTTTTTTCTTCGGTTATTTTTGCTCCTTTTTATTATTATTGAGAAAAAAACACACACACACACACAAAGTGAGGCTTACCAATTAGATGCTCTGTGTTGTTTTTCTTGGGCTTCTCTCTCTGGGGATCCATCCCATTCAAGGGAAGCTCTGATACCCTCACAGACGAGACAGCAGCATACCTTGAAACAGCACAGCACTCATGCGAAGCGCTGAAGAGAGAAGCAGGGTGAGAGGAGAAATCCCCACGTGCACGAGGGCCCTCTGGGAGTTAGTTACCCTGGTGAGGAAGGGATGTTTACAAAAACAAAGTCTTGTGGATCAGGGTTGTCTCTGATGTAACTCCACGGTCTTCTGTGGCCGTCTTCTGGCTGGGGATGCACTTGGCCCAGCTGGTTTTACATCCCACAAAATCCAAGCTGGAAATTATTTCTATGAATCAGTAATATCTGTCACCAGGGAGAAGAAAGACAAGAACAAGACAAGACAGAAAGAAGATAAAGAGAAAACAAGTCTTATGAGGAGTGGCTGAGGGAACTGGGGTTGTTTGGCCTGGAGAAGAGGAGGCTGAGGGGAGACCTCATCGCGCTCTACAACTACCTGAAGGGAGGTTGTAGCGAGGTGGGGGTTGGTCTCTTCTCCCAAGTAACAAGTGATAGGATGAGAGGAAATGGCCTCAAGTTGCGCCAGGGGAGGTTTAGATTGGATATTAGGAAAAAATTTCTTCACCAAAAGGGTTGTCAAGCCTTGGAACAGGCTGCCCAGGGAAGGGGGTGACTCACCATCCCTGGAGGGATTTAAAAGATGTGTAGATGTGATGCTTAGGGACATGGTTTAGTGGTGGACTTGGCAGTGCTAGGTTAACGCTGGATTTGATCTAACCTAAGTGATTCTATGATTCTGTAAAGCCAGAGGGTATAGATTGAGGACTGCTCCTCTGCTGTACACCTCTTAATATTATGGGGCTCAGCTACTGTTCAGGTCTCAAACACTAGCAACATAAGCAATCCTCCAGGTGAGGTCCTCATGCTGTGTAGAATAGCTCATCACACACTTCTTGATACTGTACATCACAAGAGGTTGAACCCTGTTGTGCTAGATAACCTAAAAACCACAGTAGAAACATTTCAGCTCCAAAGTCTTAACATTTTCCCCCAAATAAGAATATTTTTCACAAACCACTTTTTAATATAGACAATCAAATGAAGCATAGCATTTCAGACTAAGCGATTTCTGAAGGCTGCAGCAGCAGAGCAGCCTTCTCAAAGGACACAAATCTGTTGCTTGTTTTTTGAGAAAAAATGAGAGGTGGCTTTTCACATTAATTTAGGAGTTTGACATATAGCTGCATTAATTATATGGCTGTTTTCCGTGGGCATCCGTCATCTAGAATATATTTGAAGATCTGGCTCCAGCTTCATTTCACTTTTCATCCCTGTCAGTAATCACACTGGCCCCAGATGGGTCATTCAAAGCTGATTGCTTCCCAGAGAATCCGTTCTCAGCTTCACAGAGAGGGAACTACACCATTGAATGGATGTTTTAAATCACAGTGAAAACCATAAGCACAAACAGCTTGCAGGATTGGGATTGACATGCTTCTTGCAATACCCTCCCACATATGTGACAATATCCATTTGAAGTAATTTGTAGCATTTTCCTTATTATTTGGCTTCTCACATGGAACTGTAAGATCAAACCTGTTCAGGACAGATGCCTACAGTAGGGCAGCAAGGGTGAACAGTCAGAAGAAAAATGTGTTCTATGTATTTCAGAAGCAAAAACACAATGTGCGAAACTACCCCAACAGCTTTTTCTTTTTTTTTAGAGCAACTCAGTTTTATTGAAAATAACTTGATTCCAAGCCGTTTGAATGCCACAATCTACACAACTGCTTACACCATCAGATAGATGAGCAAAACATTAAAATCTAACAGAAATAATTGCTCCCTGCTGTTTATTGATAATTCCCTGAGGTGCTTGTAAATATATCCCGTGAAAGGTGACTAAAACAGATGGTGTTTTTCTTTTATGTTCAGGAACATCACTGTATTAGTTTCTCCGTGTTAACTTCAGCTGCACTTATATTCCCCATTTCAAAAATTTGAAGTCAAAGGCAGGGCAATCTTAATCCTTGGGGCTATACTGGGGCACATGGATAACTCATGTCCCCAAGTGCTATAAAACACCCAGAGAAGAAAATACATGAGGGCTCTGGGGCAAAGCAGTTTACAAGCTGCAAGTTCACTAGTGCTGAACAGCCTGGCACAGCCCTGTGCCATAGAGCAGTACCACAAAGAAAACCAGTTTGAGTCCAAAGCCACTTTAGCAGGACCTACTGACTTAGAAGCAATGTAAAATGACTGTGGTTCGGGTGGGTGGCAGTTCAGATATTTCTGCAGTGTGCTGATGTAGCTAACGCCTTCAACTTCTACTCCGAAAGCAGCGCAAAGGCTCAGGTCAGGCACGATGATGAGGCGCTTACCTGTAAGCAGGCCATTCTCCAACAGTTCTCTGCACCAACTGCTACATTTGCAAATGGCACCAGTCCTTTACAATTTCCCTAAAGTGTCCAGTAGCTCCCACTTACCTCATCACCCAGTTACAGAAACTTAATCCTACAGACCAAGCACCCACTTCAAAGTTTGTTAAAACCAGAACAGAAATTCTTACACACAGCCATTTCTAAACAATGCCACTCTCAAAGGTATCGAAAAAGTCATCAGGCAGTCCTCACAGGAGACTTGCATATAACAAAGTAGGTTTCAGTTTGTCTTTTTCTGAACTTTTTAGGCCCTTACTACTTTTCTTCCCATGCACTGGACTTTGGCCACACCCTAAAGATTTCTCAGCCTCGTCCTTTCCTGGCCCTGAATTCTGCCCCCAGAATAGGCACTAGCCTATTTACTTCAGGCTCGTCACTTCTTTCCCCAAATCAAAATTTAGAAGAAGGGACAGGACATAAAGAAGATTAACAGTACCATCCTATGGCTTGTAGGAACATCCCCATACTGCTCCTCCTCCTCGTGAAAATGGCATCAGCTTTCAATAGCCGAAGATGGGGAGATGACAGGAGGCATCCCTTTGGCTACACTTCGCTACAGCATGAGTAAATATGAGAGACAGTCAATCAAAGGGATCGCTCTCATCTCAATCCAGAAAGGAAGGCAATTTGCAAGAAAGTAAGAACATTCATGCCCTGGCAAGTTTCCTTCCAGGCTCAGCCAAACTCACAACACTCACTTGCAAATCAGAGGAAGAAGAGGATAGAAAATTGCTCTGTTTCTCTCGTATTCAGTACCGCTGCAATTAAAGCACTTGAAAGAATTATTGAAACTTGTATTTGTGAACACAATCCCAACATGTTCTTAGTTGTTCTGAATGAAGATTTTATTTCAAAGAACATTTCACTACACGTTATCTTTGCAGTCTGTCAACATAGCTGAAATATAGCAGTAATAGGCAACTTGAACAATGAAAAAGTAATAGCTAGTCCAGAATTAAGTCACACAGTGACAGCCCTTTCCCAGCACAGGCTCAGTGTAAGATCCGGCATGGTTTGCCTCAGGAGCAGATTTTTCCTTGGCTTTTTAAGAATACTGCTCAAGTAAGCATGAAAGAGCTCAGGACAAATCACCCCCTTCAGAAATTCCAAGGCTGTGTCACGGGAGTTTGCTGCAATGCAGAACACAGACTTTATTCCTGAAGAGAAAAAAAGTAATAAAAACGAATTTTACATCAGGAGAAATATTTAAGAAATTGAAACTTACCTTAATCCTAACCACTGGGAAGTTCAATTTACAAAATCCTGCTCAATATGATTCAGTAAGAACCAGAGACATTCTGGTTCTGCCCATTCTAGACAAAAAAACTTGACAGTTTAACACTTCTTAACCTATTTGTTTACTTGTCTAACACCGATGATGAGCTTCTATGTAAAATTACACCAGCTATGCATGAAATACTCTCTGCCTGGTAAAGGACAGCACATAGACACCACTTAGAAAGTACATTGTTTCAGGAGAATAGCATTTAATACAGTGGATATTCACTACTTCTCACCTGTTTGCATTTGGAGGAACAGGGCTTCACAGTCTCTTAGGTATCTTTGAGTTGTCTAATGTTCGGACAGAAAAAAAACAACCCACACCCCATGACCATTCAATAGATGTTTTCAGAAACAGACATACAAACTGCTTACTTTTTGATAGAACACTGCATAACAGCTGATGGCTGGTACTTATTTTTGACAAGGTAATGTGAATTAGTTTAAACTTTGATTGCTTGATGGGGAAACTAGGACTCAAATCGGAGATCAAACTCAGCACCTCAGTAAGGTTACAAAATGCTTACTGACTTTAAATTACTTTACATTCACATCTACGGGACAAAAGCCAATTTGCTCTTGAGAAGATACCCATATTTTTATTTTCTTCTTCTCCAATTGATCTACAAATCTACAAAGAACAAGTTATGAAAAGAATGAGAAGGAAAGTATAGTGAAAATGGTAGAGATTTTTTCCACAGATTTCTTGAGTCAAGATATAAGGCTGTGATTTTAAAAGCAGTTCAGAGCAGACAATCATTAGAATTCAACAGGTTTCACAAAATAAAAAAAATGTAAAAGTGCAATATGTTTTTATCTTTAGATTTAAAGTAAAATGTAAATTTGATTATTAAAATGCAAGACTACCCAATTGCTGACAAAATATTGAGGACACTATTTAAATTTATCTAAACACTTCATAGGATATTTCTATTGCCACCCTTTAGGAAACCAGTTTTATAATTCAGTATATAATTTTGCATCATAAAGAAACAGCATAAGCAAGATCAAACATTAGGAAGTGTCTCAGTAAAAACAAGTTTATTCATCTGTATTTTAGCAAATATGTAAATAGTCAGCAAAGCCTTTTTGCCATGACTGTAAACTTTTTATTTTAAAAAATTGTGTTAAAAACCAATACAGGAATTTCAGTTAATGTTCTAAAAAAGTTTGTTCACATCTTGAAAGAAAATACATTAGCAACATCTCCCAGCAGAATTTATCTTTAAAAAAGTAAAACTCTAGGTACAGAGCTTTTCTACAGTATAGTATCCTCTACGTTTTAATTTAATCACAGGATTGAATAT